CGTAGTCTCGTCGCAGTTGAAACGACGTGCAGTGGCAGCATAATTAATCACATCCGACGACTTCAGAAAGGCAAGAGCCTCGTCAATCGGCGTCATGGCTGTTGAGTTAATGCCGATTGATATCGAAGGTCAAAGGAGCGGTGAATCCGGCAGATCGCCAGATCCGGCAGATCACCGGAAAAACCCTTACCCGGTTGTTGGCCTTGACACCTGAGGGTCGTTCTTGCAACAGGTTCCCTCCAGATCTAATAAATACCATCGCATTGGGTTTCCGTGGGTAGTTGATGTACGTTGACAATCAACCAAATCGATCGTCGTGTATATTTGGTGAATTTGGTGAGAGCCCTGGTACGTCGTTGTTATTACCCCTCTTTGCTCCCAATGTACACACACACTGCAGCGCTGAGGCCCTATAAGGACTTCCATCCGGGCGGAATATATCCATACCATACCGTAGTACACATGAACATGCGCCGCGCAGGCAGTCCAATCCTGCCCTCGCAGATGCAACCTGTAAAATTATCGCTCTGTCTCCCCAGGTCTGATTGCCTCGTGACGTCTAGGAGTTGCGGGCCTGCTGTCTCCGAGTGATTCTCACACCCTAGGCCCCGAGGCTTGAAACTTTATACAGGCTTTGCGGTGTGGAAGCCACCGGATCATCATAGACCTGTTCTACGGGTTCGGTAAACTCTAGCACTCATCCGTCGATCGATGCAAGCGGCGTATATGGCAATTGCCCCTAACGTGGCGTGTAGGTGGTTTCCTCCGTCCGGACTTCACGTATAAAGTAAAGCGTCGCCTCTCCCTCGGTCCTCATCAATTCAGGCATCAACCATTCTAGCCACAGGTTTCACCACATACGCGACATCTTCCATCTCAAGCCAACATGCCTACTGCTAAGGGTACTTTCAAGCGTGTCTCGAAGAACAGAATCGAAGCATCGTTCGTCATCAACGATATTCTGGAAACATATGATGCCGATGTCAACCCAGCTCTTCCGCCATTCACCTCGAACAATTGCACCCTCACCTACGACGATCCGGAAAAGATGACAGGCACAAAATCATTTAAAGGCAGCATTGGAATGGAACCTTTCCAGCTCACCCTCAACGATGGCCTTACAATCGCTGGCACGCTTAACGTCCCTGGCTTAGACCATGGTTATACGGTCGACGGCCGCGGGCAATGGAGCGAGGATTAAATAAGGTGAGTAATTTTACCTGACTTGGGAGCTCAGCCCTTTTGACGCTAGATAGACAACATGAGTCTGATGGTGCAGAGCTGAGGGCTCGTTTCGGGCATCGGGCGTGATTAGCAAGACGAGATACGGGATGGAGGCCGCCGGATTCGATTTGCCTTATAAGGCCTCAGTGCGGGTTTTTTGCCCATGGTTCACGGTTTTTCCTGCACTGTAATGCGAATGCAGAGGCTACGATAGTACGATGGAGCTGGAGCATCGCTAATTGAGGATATGCTTTCCAGTATTGCTCCGCCAGTAGAACGCATCAAACAAGTCCATGTCCTGAACCTGTCACGAGACGGATTTATCGCACGAAGATCCAGCCTCTCACTGATAACAGAATGGCCAGATCAGTCGGTGCTGGTTTCTGTATCTCGTTCAAAACTTGCAAGAGCGGGTGCGGCTGTACTTTCGTTGCCAGCTCTTTCACGTTGTCAGGGAACATCGTGATGCGGCCACTGGCATGCTTCGGGTACTTCGCTTTTTGTCTTCTGCTAATGGCGGAGACAACTATGCGAGGCAAAACGTTTCCGATCGTCCGCGACATGCTTGGCACATCCCGCCTTCGTGGCGGACCTGGAACCGGCAAGGTAGCGTATGATGGCCCATTATGGATCAGCCAGCATGCAGGTATCCAAGGCTTGAAACATTTTGAGTTTCTGGCGGCCGCACAGTGCAAGTAGCAGCGTAGCTGCCCACCCTGGGCGGGAGACCGGATGCGTAAGCAGTTGCCAAGCGCACTGATCATGCACATTTTGTCCCCACCTGGGCTTCTAGCATCGCGAGTGTGACGGTACAAGGCACGAACAAGGTCGAGTGCGACTTGGACAAAGTGATTGTCTACAAGGAGAAAAAGGGGCAAGAAAGAGCTTCGTAAGGAAGACTCCCACTTTGGCTAGTTGTACAGTTTCACAAGTGAGACATGCATGAAGTCACCTGATCGTTCCTTCACATACGTCCCATACTTCAGTGGCGTGATGAGTAGCCTATTGCAGAATCAAGTTAGCGTAATGAGACCTGAGGCATCTTGGATATTGGATCTTTACATTGGCAAGAGTATTTTGCGTGGTCGGAGAAGCTTCCATTCCACTTTCTATCACTCGTCCGATGTATAGCTCGCAGTCCGGGGCTAAAGAGTGAATGATGAAAGCTAGGCGCGTTCCATGCCCGCTGGTGTCTTCTCTAGGGTTCAATCCCTCTGGGGCCCACTGTGACGGGACAAGGGCACGAACGAGGTCGAGTGCGACTTGGGTAAAACGATTGTTTACAAAGAGAGAAAAGGAGAGAGTGAGAGATTCGTAAGGAAAGCTCTCACTCAAACTAGTTATGTACAATATTCATAAAGTGAGACATTGTATAAAAAGCAAATATGTCGTCTGGTGATACCCTCACAATCCTCGGCAACGGGCACCAGCTAGATGTTCTAGATCGTTGGTGAAGGCCCGCCCGCGCCATGTGGGGAGAGCCCCGGGGCTGCGGAAAGCCAGGTGGGTGGGGATCGAACCCGTGGAGCCCACAGTCTGGCTCCCTAGGAGTGTTGTCTGTGATGTCGACGGTATCGAGGCTCCCGGGATGGGTCTTGCTCGCGTCTCGGATGCGGCGTCTTCGGCCGCAGTGTTTTGTCCCTGAGAAGGTCGCCCTGCCTCGAGGCGGTGCAACTCAAGCTGCTGTTGCTGGATCATCTGCAGGAGGCGGTTCTGTTCGTCCGTCACCCAAGTTTATAAACTATGCAAGGAGTGGGGTCACTGCGACGAACCACATGTGCTTCCTGGTCAGCCTCCAGCTCCTGGTGGAGCTCGCCCAGGCTCGGTGCTCGGTCGTGGTGGGGGTTGGCCGTGGGGGGGGAGCCTGACAGCGGCCGAGGACTCCAGCGCTGGCCGCCAAAATGCTCCCGCGCCATTTCACCAGGTCGTAGTATGGGCGGGTGGTTAAGTTGCGAGTTCATGAGGACAGCCGAGCGTCCTCGTCCGCCGCGTGGAGAGGGGACGGTTCAAGTCAAGGAGCTCCGAGATGACTCTACCGGCCGATCAGCGGGGCTGCAACGCAGATGTGGCAAACAGGGAAACAGGGACCGGCGGCGCACATGCGCACATACGTTTAGAGGGCTTGCGTCGCAGGCCGGCATAGACGGTGGCGGCGGCCTGCAGGGTGACGGACGCAGAGCGCGGAGAGCCGGTGGGAGACTCGGCGCGGGGCAGCGAGGTTTGTCGCCGCTTGTAGATATTTTATCTGTCAGGCTTCCGCTGGTGCTGGGTTGAGGAGGAATGGCTGGACGAGGCGTCTCCAGTGGTCGAGCCACAGCTGTCTCACCCACCCACCGTTGCCACGATGCGTTGATGGAGTGGGCCCCGGACCGCCTGTTGCCCAGGCAGCAATCGCCAAGTGAAGATGTGTCATCCGCCCAAACAACGTGAACCTCAACCCTGCTGCCATCAACAGCGGCGACCAGATTCGACTGTATCAGGGGCCATCAACGACGACCATCGGCATGGAACCCGAAAATGCAAAGGGACTGCAAGAGCAGCTGCGTGAAGCGCAGTTGCGTGCAGAAGCGGCCGAACGACGACGCGAAGAAGCCGAGCAGGAGCAGCGCAGAGAGCGACAACAACGCGAAGCGGCGGAGCAACAACGCGAAGCGGCGGAGCAACAACGCGAAGCGGCGGAGCAACAACGCGAAGCAGCAGAGCGGGGGCAGCACAGAGAGCGACAACAACGCGAAGCGGCGGAGCGACAACGCGAAGCAGCAGAGCAGGAGCAGCGCAAAGAGCGACAACAACGCGAAGCAGCGGAGCGACAACGCGATGCAGCCGAGCAACAGACGCAACCCACGACTCTCGACGAATACCTCGATGCGTGCCATAAATATGTCTTCGCGAAGCTTCAGGTCGAACAAAATCCCGATCTCGTTTCAAAAGGCTCCTTGACCAATCCACAGAGCAAATGGTGTCCCACAAGCCTGCGGCCATGGCCGGAGTTCCTGGAGCAGCAAAGACGCATGTTCGGCCTCCTTCTCGATACCTTCCCGTGCGATTCAGATCGGCTTTTCGAGAGCATACACTTTCTCTTAGCCATGGGCGCCAGGATCGGTAGGCGAGGCATTGCGGACGAGAAAGTGTTGGAGTTCTTCTTGCACAATGCTGTGGAGGACCCCGTGAGAAACATCGTCGACCAGCTCGTGCAAAACCCCACCGCGAGAGAGGCTCTCGACCTCGGCGACGGCATCGTCTTCGAGAACCACCCTCACGCGCTGAGCGATACAGCGGAAGAGGTCGTTGACAGACAAACACGGTCCCTACCGCCGAGCACGCCAGGTCACGGGGAAAATCTGAAGAAGCTGCAAGCGGATCAGATCTGCATTTACCGCTCCGACGGTGCCCAAGGGAGTCGGACAAGAGCCTTCATTTGCGAGTACAAGCCGCCACACAAACTGACGGTCCAACATCTGCACGTCGGTCTGCATGTGACGGACATCTACAAAGACGTCGTCAACCGGAAGACGATACCGAATTCAGAAGACACAGAGGCGCGCTTCAAATACCACGCGGAAAGGCTTACCGCGTCGGCGATCACGCAGACATACCATTACATGATCGAAGGCGGTCTTGAGTACAGTCTCTTGACTACGGGCGAGGCGATTATCTTCCTCAAGGTTGACTGGGACGAGCCGGGGACGCTTTTCTACCACATGGTCGTGCCAAGTATCGAAGTCGCGGCCCAATCGAGGGACGCCCGTCTGTGCACAGCCGTTGCTCAATATCTCGCCTTCACGCTGCTGGCCGTTGACGGATTAGGAACGCGGCGGTACGGTCAGGACGAGCGCGACCGGGTGACGAAGGGGCTCAACAGGTGGGAGGTGTCGTTCGAGTCGACGTACCGATCGATCCCCGAGCAGGACCGTTCGTTTATTCCCGACAGCTCGCCGGGTTACCAGCCTCCTACGTACGGCAATGTAGATCGGTCACCTGTCCGTCGACGAAAGAATCCGCCGCGGGGACAAGGGCACGCCGACGCCCGGGTTCCCTCGAGACGAGACGATAGATCCGAATCGTCGGATGAGGAACCCAATCCGAGAGCGCCAGCCACGCCGACACCCGCCCAGCGGAACACGAGACAAGGAGCTAGACGGAGCGAGCGCTTGGCCATGCGGCCGCGTGGAGGCGGTGCCGACAACAGCGGTCAACGCCGACCGTTTTGCACGCAGAAGTGCCTACTTGGCCTGGTTCGAGGACATGCTCTGGACCGCAGCTGCCCTAACGTCTCTCTCCACTGCCGGGGGAAGACGCATATTGAGCGCGGTGCCACCCGCCACCCCGTCGACCATGCCAAATGGCTGCAGCTACTCTGCGCGCAGCTCAAGGAGACACTGGACCGTGGCATTACGCCCCTTGAGAAGAGCGGCGCTCGCGGTGTACTTTTCAAGGTAACGCTGCTCGCTTATGGATACACGTTTGTAAGCAAGGGGACAATCCAGGTGTTTATCCCCGACCTTGAACACGAAGCGGCCGTGTACCGACGCCTAGAGGATTTACAGGGGATTCATGTGCCCGTGTTCCTTGGCGCTGTTGACTTGCGATCCGTGGATAGGACATACTTCTACGACCACAGGGTGTACATTGTGCACCTAACGCTCATGTCATGGGGTGGTGAGAGTCTGCATGAAGCGCGAGGGCGCGTGCTTGCGACGGAAGAGCAAGTCAAGCGCAGCCTGCACGCCATACACCAGCATGGTGTCATACACAGGGATGTGCGCGGCCCGAATATTCTGTTCTGTGAGGAGACTGGCGGGGCGATGATGATTGACTTTGAACGGGCGGAGCTGCTGGAGCCGCCTCGACCTCCGCTCGCAAAGATGGCGCCGAACAAGCGTCTCTTGCCAGATTCACCCTGGGAGCAAAAGCGTCATAAATCGCGTCGGGTGACGAAGTGCTTTTCCGAGGACATCTTGATGGCGAGTGGGCTTTTCGTCACCACCAGTATGTAGGTCCGGGATACCTTCAATAAAAGTTCAACCAGCGGTGACGGTTGGAAGATGCATTAGGGACTGCGGCGAGAGCAGGTGGCTGGGAGATTCCTTGGGTCTAGGTGTAACAGTGAATTCCGGCAGAGTCGGTTTGCAGGGGCACGACCCCATAACCGATTTCCGTGTCATTTATCGAACAACAACAGTCCCAGTGTTCTTATGATGCCTTACTGGCCAGGCACCCCCGGAGTTATCATGCCTCTGAGTGAGTGGGTCAGTGGGTGAGGGTGCGGGGCTGTGTGTATAAAGTGTCGCTCTGCCCCGAACTCAGTTTGGATTTCATCCTCGCTTAAGGTTACGGACCGGGGAACCTCCTTGTTCCCCGCCTGAGCGCCGAAAGTAAATTGCGGACCCAGGCGCGTCCCCGCCAACCACCTAGCGCGACATTGGCTGGCCCACTCCACACACATTTTGCAACACTTCTCTCAGCCACAGCCACGGCAAGAAGACCTGCGCCCGCGCTCGATGAACCGATGGACGTCGACGAGCGTGAAGCTGAGTCCGCCAACGACTACGAGGACTCGTTCAAGCGCTTCATCCAGTGGCGCTGGGCCCCTAACGGCACCTCCATCGAGATTCAGGTGGAATGGGCGGCCGGCGACACAACGTGGGAGTACGAAGTGAACCTGCACGAGGACGCACCCGAGGCGCTACTGGCCTACTGGCGGGAAAATGGCGGGCGGCCGGTGAGCCCAAAGGACCCGGACGTGTTCGACGTCCTGGCGGTGCGCGACCACAGCGCCGACCGCAAGCGGCTGCTGGTGGAATGGGCCGGGTTCGGGCCCAGGGAGGCCACCTGGGTATCGCGACGGAGCGTGGAGCAGACGGCGCCCTCGGTTGTGGCCCAGTACATGAAAGGGGTGAGAAAGGAAAAGACGCCGGTGAAGCAGCCCAACGCGGTGGCCAAGGCGAGGATGGCCAGCAGCACGGCTTCGGCGCTGGCAAAGCCCGCGGCCAAACCAAAGGAGCCGGCCCAGACAAAGGGGGCAGCGGCAGCCAAGGTCTGCTCGGCGAATGGGGCCAAGGATGAAGGAAGCGTGTCCAAGAAGAGAGGCAGGCCGGCAATGCGGCCCCCGAAACGGCGGCCAGGAATTGCCTATCGCGTACATGGGCAAACCGTGTAAACGGCCGAATATTTTGCACGTTTGAATGGTTAAAAATATTGCAGATCAGATCAGGCTGCGTGCCGCGCGGGGTTGGGCTTTGTGTGCGTGGGACTTAAGTGAGATTCATTTCTACCAAAGGACACATCAGAGGGTACTGCCTGCCTCGCATTCACCCGTAGCGTGCAGGGTGGAACGTCGGGTCCAATCAGCAAAGCTTCTTAACGGACTTCTGTGAATCGTGTAGTGCTCGTCAAACCTAGCCTACCCCCAAGCAACAGCCAACCTTAGGAGTCTAGGATCCTCTTGAGGCTCAGTTACAGCCAGGCATTCCAGTGGCTTCCAACGGTACTCAAATTCCACGTCGTGCGACAACAGACGCCTGCATATATGTGGTGATACATGGACCATCTGAGTATGGCTTCAACCCGACACCAAGTGCTGAGCAACAGGGATAGCATGCACCGCTGGGACGCGGGCTATCCCACAGTTGGTGCGTAAGTCAGCAGTGACAAAGGCAAGAATAGTTGAGAGATAATATCGGTCGCCATTCACGGTAACGACAGTGTCCCGTGATGGCCGGCCGAGCTTAAAACTCCAATGGAGAACTCCATACAACGGCCACCATTCTCCTCCGCGCAAGTTTCAATGACGGCTGTGATGATATGAGTGACAACTTCAGAGCTATGCATGGTGTTTTCCACGAATTCCAATTCGATATGCCTGACCCTAACCGATAACATGGGGGTCCCCATATCATGTGTATGGACTTAATAGCACCTCGGGGGGTCATAGTAGTCTATGGATTAGATGCAAATATGATTTGCTTGATCTTACGACTGGACTTGGATTCGAGCAAGAGCAGCGGAAAGTAATGTCGCTCGTCATTCATGGTAACGGCAGTGTCCCGTGATGGCCGGCCGAGCTTAAACTCACACGGAGAACTCCATACAACGGCCAGCACTCTCCCCCGCACAAGTTACAACGACGGTTGTAATGATATGCTTGACAAGCTCAGAGCTATGTATGGTGTTTTCCACGAATTCCAATTCGATACGCTTGCCGGAACAGCCACCGAGATAGTGCTCCCAATACTCGCCTCGCCCTTAGGTTACTATATCGCCCACACCGCAAACCATCCCGTGGCACCTACTTCGTGACTGCCGCCTCGGCAGTGACCGTGTCAGAATTGCCTGATCTGGACTTGAATGTAATCGTCTTGTCACTGTTGATGACGATCTCGGTCAGTCTATTGGTGTCCTCCAGTCGCAAGATGTGTTGCTTGAATCCGGTCGTAGACTCTGAGTTGAACAGCCTGTCTGTTGCAGTGATCGGAATGGTCCGGTATGGTATGGTATGGAGGTCCAAACCATACCATACCAGTTGCTTACGTCATTACCGGTATGGTATACCGGTAATACCAGTAATACCACCAGATTGTTGTAACCCATCGGCTTTCCTAATCGGGTAATTCGTCAAGGCATCGCCAAGTTCGGCCTTCGTATTGTGTCCTCCTACCCTACAGTAGATATTCGGTTTTCAGGGCGCCGGATTTCCACATCTCTCCATATTTTCTCTTCTTCGATAGTGTAACTATTGATATTGACGTGGACTGAAGTTTAAGAAGTTGATCGACGCGTGGATTCAGATGAGATCAACTCAAGAGGTAATGTACAGAATGTCAGTGTACTGTAGTTACCGCTAGAATTTGTCGGGAACCGGACGACGACGCACTGGCGTCAGGCTCTCCGTGGGCTGCCAACAATTGCTCTCGGCCAAATGTGTCGGGACCGCCCCTGTGATCCGCGTGTCCAGAACCGGACAAGAGCTGCCTGTTGATTGGAAGCTCCACATTCTGCACTTCAGGAACTGACCGCGAGCCCTGCACTACTGACCTTCCCGTCAGGAACCCACATGACTCTTGACCTGCACGAGGGACGTCAAGAACTGGACAATGGGGGTGCGCTTCGGGCGCTCGCAAGTCAACAAAGCGCACAAACTGGGCATGCGGCGTCTATGACAGGATGACTGCGCTTGAGTTTGCAGGGAACAGAACTGCACTTCCGGCCGTCGCCTGGGGGGCAAGTACCCCTTCGTGGCCGACCTTCGTGGCCCAGCTCCCGGCCTGCAACCACACTGGGCATCAAGAATCGGATCACGCGACAGCACAAGGGGCTTTTTTTTTCGACCGCAGGTGGACGAACCGCTCATGCGGTGTCAATCACGGGGCGATTGCGCTTCTGGCTGTCGAGGCGTGCGCCAACGATCCGGCGGCATGGTGGCTGTCTGGAGCGGAAGTGGACATGAGGTCCGTCGTATTCTAAGAGATCATTCTGGACTTGCCTCAGGATCAAACCTAACACATCAACATTCTCGCGTGAGAAACCGGACATGGCGCGGCGAGCGGCGCCTCAGGTGGTGTCGTCAAACGGACAATTGGTCACGGGCGGCCCCACACTCGGTCGCGCAACAGAACGGCAGACCTGAGCTGGAAAGACTATGTGTGCAGACAATTGCAGCTGCGGCCCATCGTCGGCCTTGGCCAAAAATGAACCTTCCCCTGGTAGCGTCCTGGAGAGCTAGCAACGTTGCCTGCTGCTTTCTCGGGCGGTCGCATCCATTGCACCTCGCCCAGGCATGATGGTGCGTCCGCGCCGAAAGAAAACTGTCTTGCGGTCCAGCTGCGCGCCCTGGACTTTCTTCATACTCGTTATAAGGGATCAAACAGTCAGCCTCAATTTATGAATCTGGCGAAAAGCATGCCATTGTGGACTTGACACCTCTATTTAAATGAGACTCGCCGATATGACGAATGAATAAGTCGCTCAGTAAGGCGATACGTGCCATTATTCTTGTGAAGAATACAGCGCACCTCAATGCCTGGCACTGGGAGGCGGGTATACCGCCGGCTTCACAGCCGTGGCAGCGTTTCAAAGGCTCGTTCCGCAGCGCGTATCAGGTCCCTCAACAAGCGCACCCACCTGTAGTGCACACAAAACCGATCCGGGGCCCTGTCATCGTGGGCCGCCAAACCCAAGCTCTAGCTTCCACAGCAGTTGTTCCGGGCTAGGCTGCACCGCAACGACAAGCTGCTTCTGAAATGTGCCACACGAAGCGCCGCAAGTAGATTTGCTGGCGACCAACACGGTCCCTGCGGGCTGTGTCGACAGAAGCATCCGCAAAAGAATGCGCACTAGATCCGCTGCTGCCATGCCGTGCGACTCGGATAACTGCGAATATGCCCAAGTTCAAGAGACACAGGACAGGAGGGCGAAGTACAAGTCATATTTCCAGTGCCCTTATGCGGACACACCGAACAGCGCCAATAGGCTGCCTAACACGGTGCAACACACGCTCGTGGTTCCCCTCGCGCTCTGGATTCATGCCCAGGCAGGGAAGTGCTGGCCCCGACAATACGCCCCAACGACGGAGCCGCCCTCGCTTTTGCGAATACGGCCAGGTCTAGGACATGCCTCCACGCGAGGCACCGGCCATGCCACTCAGACTGTGTGCTTCGTCCGACGGCTCGTGAACATCAGTGCTCAGGGGGTAGCATAGCGCCATATCACGTACTGGGGTTTGGGTCAACATGCAGGCACTTCGCCCGCAGAAGCTCATGAACCACGAGGCCAGGATCAACGAGGTATCTTGGACCCACTTTTGCCAGGCAGCGCAACGCTTTCCCTTCCACGCAACGCTTTCCCTTCCACGCAACGCTTTCCCTTCCACGCAACGCTTTCCCTTCCACGCAACGCTTTCCCTTCCACGCAACGCTCATTCAATCACGCGTACTCTCTCAGCACCCTCGCGAGACTAGCGACAACCCCCCCCCCGGGAAGAGTACGTGCGGGTCTCCTCGCCACGGATACGAGATCGGAGCTTGCTATCATGGCGCCCATGCTCTGCATTTGTGGGTAACTCTACACTGCAAGTGGGCACAGAAGTCGTCAGTATGAACTAGAGTGTCCCAGACCGCAGGCGTGTCGTGTTTGCCGTCGCCACTGCGGGCTAGCCTAGCAAGATTAGGCGGGGTATGAGCAGCCAGATCGAAGGGATCTGAGCTGGCATGTAATCGTATGGTACACCTGCCAAGGAATATGCACTGAGTGTGCATGTAGAAACGGGGCGTGGTCAGCCGCATGAGTAGTTTTCGCTTTGAGGAGTGGGACAGGACGAATGAAACCCAGGCGTCGAACCACGTGCAACATGACATTGTGGTTCAAGCGCGGTATCTTGACGGTTTGCACTCTGCCAGACTACTGGCTGGGAATCGTGAGCCCTGTGGCTGAGCCTGGATATCAGTCAATGGAGATAGTCCCTTGGTATTGGTACTGTACGCCCCGTAGTGTACATTCTAGAACGGCGATCGCAAAGACTTCATTGATCATAACTATCTTTGTTACTTCTTCATTGGAACTATCGAGGGGTTGGCCGGCTCCTATGATGAGCTCTCCAGCTCGTGTGGGGACGTTGGTGGGGCCGCGACGCGGCTCGGTGACGCCGGTGGGGCGTCGAACCATGAAACGGAAGCTGGACGACAGCGCGAAAGAGCCGAATAAAAGCAGTCGGTACAGCACGAGGGCGACAACGCAGGCAGCGGCCGCGGTGGTCAATCGCGGCCCCGTGGCGGATCAGAGAAATAACACCAACCACGAGGAAGCGACGACGCTGCCGTCGGCACTGGAGTTGCTCGGTGCGTACCGCACCGTGGTCCAGGAGCTAAGAGAAGCCATCAAAGGCCAGAACGAGACCGTCCGCGCGCAGCAAGAAGCGATCCGCGAGTTGAAAGAGGCGGCTGAGGAGCAGCACACTTTGATTCGTGATTTGACCCAACAACTACAAAATAACCAAAAACAGACAGCCGACGACCTGAAGCGCGTTCATCAGCAACTTGAAGCCATCACGACGACCACCGTCTCTACCCCGCAGAGTTCGTTCAGTGACGTAACAAGTTCGCCAGCGTCACCACAGCCCTCGAGGTGCGAGGAAAAGGGTTCGCCACAGGCGTGTCGTCGGCACCAAGACAAAAGAGTCATGGATATATCGCCATGGCGCAAATTTAGAGCACAAAGGCATACGGTACTGGCTGTGCAAGCTCTGCCACGAGAAGAGAAGCTACTCGACGGCTCTATACGCGTCATCGGGAACCGCGCATGCTGCAAGGCACCTGCTCCGTCAACATCAAATTGCGGAATTCCGTGACGGAAGTACAAGTCTGTCAACCCCGTTTACTCTAGCTGCCAGGTCCGAGGCTGGGTCTATGCGCTTGTCGCGCCAAGCAGCTCAAAATTCTCCCTTTCGCCCTCACTTCGACGCGGCTTCGTGGAAAGCTCATTTCGTGGACTGGATCATTCTCGAAGATGTTACCTTCCGGCAAGCGTCCAGCGAGCGGCTTCGTTGGCTGATGGCGAACGGTGGGGAGCCTGCAAGCCAGTTGCTTCCACAGCATCACACAACGGTCTGTTCATGGATCCGTCACACCTTCGAATCACGTCGAGAGATCATTTTCGGCCTCGTCAAGGGTGCCAAGAGCTGCGTTCACCTAAGCTTTGATCTCTGGACTGCTTCCAACGGGTTCCACTACATCGGTATTGTCGGGCACTTCGTTGACGGCGAAGGCAAGAAACAGGATGTCCTCCTGGGACTACCGCGCCTCATTGGCCCGCACTCTGGCGAAAATATGGCCTCCTACGTCAAGGAGGTCATTGACAAGTACGAAGTAGGCTCTAAGCTTGGATATTTTATGCTCGATAATGCCGAAAGCAACGATACTTGCCTGGAGGCGCTTGCAAGGTGGTTTCCAATGGACGTAAGCAGCCGCCGTCTGCGCTGTATCGGCCACATTATTAACCTAGTTGTTCGCGCCGTCATTTTCGGGTCCAACGTCAGTAAATTCGAGGCTGCGCTTCGCGAAGCTACAGATGAGTTCAGTTTTGACATCTGGGCCAAGAAGGGATCGATCGGAAGGCTCCATAACCTCGCTACCTACATTCGCCGAACGGACCAGCGGCGACAGGCACTGCGACAACTGCAGGCTGAGATCGCAGGGGATGATGCCATTTTCACGTTGGAGATTGTTGTCGATGGCAAGACGCGCTGGAACTCTATCTATATGATGATTGAGCGCGGTATGACCTCTGGCCCTTGCCAGCCTTTCCGGCTACGTGCTGACCGTGATTGGCTTATTTTAGCACTCGAACTACGAGCTGCTATCGAGCTGTATCAATCTCGATGGCAGATACCAAAACACGATCCCGGCCACCGTGACCTCTCAAAGGACTTTCTCACCGCTATGGATTGGGTTGAGCTGCAGCGCTTTTACGACTTTCTGAAACCGTTTTACATCCTAACCAAGACCATGGAGGGCAATGCCAGCACGCCAGGAGCGGAGGGCGGCCATGGCGCCGTGTGGGAAACGCTGAAGACCATGGACTATCTGTTTGTCAAGTTTAGGCAGGCTGCAGATGACACCCGGTTTGAGGAAGCCTCCCATTTCAAGTCGGGAATTGACTGCGGATGGGCAAAGCTCGAAGACTATTACGTCAAAACAGATCGTACACCAGTCTATAGAGCCGCGCTAGCACTTCACCCATCCTATGGCTACGACTACTTTGAGCGGCATTGGAAAGTCGCAATGGATAAGCCCCAATGGTACAACGACATGCAGTCCGCTGTGGGTACTTTGTTCGACGAATACGCCCGTCAGGCTGAAGTGGAAACGCAGGCGCAAGCAGGGCTTTTGGAGATTGATGGTTGTGAGACCGATGCTGAAGTCGACGATTACAGTTCCTTTGGGAAAAGGTCACTACGCTCCTTGAATACGCAGCGAAAGAAAACCAAGACGGTCAGCGAGCTCGACTTATTTCAGACGCGAGCCATTTACCCACAGGATCTGGACGTTGCAGACCCGATCCAATGGTGGAATCGGCACCAATTGGAATATCCTGTCCTGTATCGAATGGCACTCGATCTGTTCTCCATTCCAGGCATGAGCGCCGAATGCGAGAGAGTGTTCAGCCAGACGAAGAAGATGATTACGGACGAGCGTAACCGGCTAGCACCAAAAGTAATCGAGGCAGATCAACTGCAAAAGCACTGGCTCATGAGGGGGTTGGTAGTGTAGCAACAATGAAGTCTTCGTATGTTATGCGGCGAGCCCCGTTGGCGGTCCGGTAAAATGTCGGGGTCGGACTGTCAGACCTAGACCGACCGGGCTGCTGAAGCCAGACGGATCCAGACCGACAGACCGGAGGGCCCGGTCTGAGTCGGTCGGTCTGTTAGCCACACTGGGCACGAAGTCAACTTCAGCGGTCCTGGTGGCAACGACATGACCGCTACTGCAATTCCTCCCCCCGCTACGTTTGATCCCGAGGTTCACTACGGCGATGGAGACGACAACGCCTTGTACAACCTGTTTGCGACATGGCCAGAGAACTATTTGAGCAGCCTTCCTAAACCACATGGTAATCGCGGAATTGATGAGCCCTACTGGGAATTGCGGCAGTCACAAATCTTCCTAGATGACTGGTTCCGCGGCCGTGGCGCACGGCGGTTGTTCACATCTTTCGTTCCCGGTCCCGACAAACTTGAGAGAGTCCGCAAACGCGAGCAGACAAATGCAAATAATACCGAGCAGCACGCGACAAGCACGATCCGATTTCGATCTGCCTTGCATTTTGCCCAAGATCAAGCCAAGTTGGACAATGCACTAGCTCTAGAACTGGCTCAACACTGCCTGGCACCTACTACGCAGCGGGTTGTTCGAGGCGCCCGAGACCCACCACCACTGTCGGTCTCACCACCGTCACCGTCGCCAAGCCAGGAGCAAAATGAATACGAGGAATGGGCCGGTCTGTCCGACACAGGGTCCAGCAGTCACGGCACCTCGATACCCATCCCCAACCCGCCAATCCCTGGCCCTGCCATGGTATCGGTCGATGCGCTTCAATCCTCCGTCAACGAATTCGCGAAAGAAAATGGATTTGGTGTTGTCAGGCACAACGGTTCCGGCAGCCGAGTGCGGAAGACCAGATATGTGTTCCAGTGTGATCGATACGGCGAGCCACGCACATCAAGAGGCGCAGGTCTCCGCCAAAGGCGGTCGCGCAAGTGCGGCTGTAAGTGGAAGATTATTGCGGAGGCCCTGGAACAGAACGACTACAGGTGGACGCTGCGGGCGTTTGCCGACCCTCAGCACAGCCAACACAACCACGACCGTACCATGAGTCTGTCAGCGCATCCAGTCCATCGGAGACTTACTGACTCTGTCAAGGCAACTATTGAAGCGACAAGCCGACGAGTAGGAATAAGGGCGCGTGATGTCCGTGGCATCGTTCAAGAAAAGCATCTCGGAACGCACTACACAAGAAAGGACATATACAACGCTAGGACACTCTTGCGCCGCGAAAAGCTTGGCGGATTGGGTCCGACAGCCGCCTTGATCAAGCTGTTTGACGAGAGGGCCATTCCATATATCGTCAAGTGGTCGGAGACAGAGCCTGATCGCCTCGTTGGCCTCCTATTCACCTTTCCATATTGTCTCCGAATGTGGAAACGATTTCCGGAAATAATGAGCTTCGACAACACGTACAATACAAACCGCTTCAAGCTCCCGCTCTTCCAGGTAACGGGGCAAACATGCCTGAAGTCTGTCTACAACGCCGCATTCGGTTTGATCGATAACGAGCGTCGTGAGGGGTTCCAATTCCTCACTGAAGCGGTCAGAGAATTGACCGAGAGGCGTGGGATTCCGCTACCAGACGTTGTTATCACCGACTACGATAAGGCGATGAAGGAAGCACTAGACAACCAATTCCCCGACAGCCAGCAACAGCTTTGTATCCACCATATCAACGCAAACGTTCTTCTTAATGCGAAACGGAAGTGGAAGAACGCAAAAGAAGGTGGGGAAAGCGATGGAGACGGTAGCTCTTGCAGGGAGCAGACACAGATGGCATTGACTCCGAGGGATATGGAAGCTGTGCTCGTAGCAGAGAGGCAAGACAACCCGCTGCCCCAGGGCAACCTTGCTGCACCTGTGCCGCACAACTACCGTGGCGTCCTCGAACTGCGGAAGTTGGTGGCTTTTGCAGAGACCAGGGAAGAACACGAGAAGGCTTGGGCGGGCCTATGTGACGAGTTCAACGACCAGCCGGCCATCCTTATGTACCTGTACAACACGTACCTGCCCATACGAGCACAGTGGGCACAATGTTTCATCAAGAAGTACCGCAATTTTGGAGGTCGGGTGACCTCTGGTACCGAGGCCAGCAACAACAATATCAAGAGCTACCTGCTCAATGGGATGAGCCATTTGTACTCACTCGTCGAGGCTGTTGAGGCTATGTTGAGAGATCAAGAGCGAGACTTCATCGATGCCTGCTCGCAGGATGAGGTGCTGACCTCTCGGACATATTCTGGCCCTGGTTCAGAGTATCTGGGAGAGCTTCGCTCGGTGATGTCCGAGCCGGGCCTCAAGCTTGTTTCCAAAGAACATCGGCGGGCCTTGAGATCGATACCAAGCAGAACACGTCCTTGGCCGGAGCCGATCGGGGATTGCAACGAGGAATGTTCCGTCTCGTGGCAGCTTGGGATCCCTTGCTGCCATACAATCTACAACAAATTAGAAACGGGCACGTGCTTGTTGGCAGGCGGGAAACACTTCCGGGCGAGGATTCGAAGGCCCCACACGGCGCTGATGTAGACAGGCCGCGGGTCCTGGAGAAGGTGAGGGTGCCGGTTTGGCGCACCAATTTTTGCCACGTAGCCCGACGAGGGGCAATTGCGTGCCCGCCTTGTTGATTCGCTCCTGGAAAAGGGTCGTTGGCCAGGACTTGAATGGGCGGCCCACAAAAGCTGAAAGGCTGACAATTTCTCGCTTCTGAAGCCACAGCCTTGTCCGGATGCTCACCATTGTCTCGCGAATTGCCATGTTCTCGTCTCTGTAATGCTCTGCAAGAGTCTCAATGGCCGCCGCTGCCGACAACGTAAAGATCCAGCCTGTGTCGGCGTCTTCGACGACCTACGATCTCGACGACATGGGCGCCTCCACCAAGCCGTTACGGCCCAACAGCCGCCAGTCCTCCTCGTCCCAGCGACCAGTACCCAGCTACGCCTACGAGCAGTTTCACCGCGGCAAGCAGCTGCGGCATATGGGATTGACCAGCCTCTGTCGCTGGATCCTCACCGTTGCGCTTGCCATGTCCATCTACGGCGTTATTTGGAGCTACTCGGGCAGAGAGGCCATGCCGGCCAGTAAGAGGAAGGAGTTCAACGCGCTCATCATTGGCCTTTCTATAGGCCTCGGCTTGAACTTGGTCAGCTCCCTCAAGGGCGACGTGGGCGAGCTGCGGTGGTGGCTGCTGAGTCTGCACGACCACACTCCACTGGAGGCTGATTTGATCCTGCAGAGTGAGCATCTCAGCCGCCTCGTCATGCTCGGTTGGATGTCGCGTCGCCCAGTTGTTCAAGTCTTTGTTTTTGTCTTCATGGCACTAAATTTGGCATCGCAACTCGCTCTCGCCCTCCTCGGCATTACGTACAACATCAAC